TGCACATGTCTTTTAAGCCACTGCCTAACATCATGGACCAGTCTTGCCCGACCGCATTAAAGTTAGGAATAAAAGTATGTAGAAGAGAGAAAACAAACAGACAAACAAACAAAAACTCTGAAGTCTGGCCTTGCTCTTTGACAGTCTCCTTAGTAGTAATTGTTTTCTTTAACGCCAGCATCTCTCCTTTCTGCAGGAAGGCTTATGCAGTTTCTTCCTCCAACTCGTCCACCCTTGTTATACAAGTCACATAATAAGAAGGCCAGGGATAAACAGGAACTACAGTAGCTGTTAGCCATGTATAAAAACAAATCACATGGAAACAGTATAATTACTGAGAAAATATCAACTTGAGTAATGCAGTAATTGTTTTCTTCCCTCCAGCAGATTTATTCTAACTCTCCGGGCTTCGTGCTGGTTTCAAAGTCTGTGACTTGACGTTAATAAGAAGAATTTTACGTTTCACACTGCACTTGTTCAGAACCTGGATATGAGACCATGTGAACCACTGCCATTAACTGGAGTATATTTTGAATGGCTGCTTTGGAGTGCTAGGAAACAGATCACCAGCAGCACCAGCTGAAATAAAAACATCTATATACATTAGTATTCCCCCTCCCACCCCAAGGCCTTCCAAGCAGAAAGACGGACAAAAATCGAAATTGAAGGCAAAAATAATCTTTACCTCTTCCTAGCAGGATCTGGCTTCCTTTCCTGGGCGCAGCATTTGTGCTGCGAGGGTGCAGCACACACTGTTAGAGTTTTGGTCCAGAAAGCTCTGTCCTGATGGATTTCTCTGAGCAGATGCTGAGCCAGTGGCTCCCTGGCAGCTGGAGCATGCTCCGAGCACGTGCCCAGGGCTGTGCTGTCGCAGCAGGGAGGCTGATGGCGATGGGTTCTGGTTTTGCATGAGCCTGCTGCTCCAAGGTGAGTTTGGGTTTCCCAGTCTTTCCTCCTGCCACCACGGGCTCTGCAGTCTTAAAGAGAGGCACCATGTCCCTCAGTGCATCTCTACCACGGGCTTGGTGGGCTCTTCTCTTTTTTGGTTTATGTAAACCTCCTTTCTTGGTGCTGCTGGGAGACTCGTTGCACAGTGATGCAGTGGACCTGCAGCATGCACCATACCCCGTGAGGGCTGGTGCCCCATGGGCTCAGCAATGAATGCTGCCAGAGGCTGGGAAGAATTGTCTACTGACAGTCCTGGGGCTTCTTGGTGCTCCTCGTGGCTTGGCCTCTAGCCTTACACAGTGCAGTCCTTGCAACTCAACTGGTTCATCCCAAAAGCCATATGTTTCATTTGTAATATGCTGCCCCAATTTGCTCTGGGAGGCAGACAAATGCTCTTCCCAGGAGGACAGCCATGGCTGGAGCGTGGATGAAAAACTGGTGGCTTGCTGAGACTTGACCAGTTTTCAAAGTCCACCATTTGAGTGGAATCTGGTCCTTGTCTTTTCAGTCTTTCAAACTGACCAGGTTTTTGTGATTTATAAGAAGGATTTCTTTGTGCCTTGTATAAATCCAGGAGCTCTGCTTTCTGGACCTCAGCATTGCATGGGCAAGATTTTTTTGCCTTTGATTTTGTTTTTTCTCCCTCTTTATGCTTGTCATTTTCTTTATCTAGAGGGATGCTTGTGAAATGACAGTGACCTGTTATTTGAGGTCTAGGGACATTGCCTCTCTCTATTGCTATAATCGTCTCATAATACAAGATGAGGATGGTTTTTAGAGGCTGTAATTCGCAGCCGTTCCCCTTACTCAGCTTTATTGCTATTTTATTTCAGATTCTGCAAAGTAAAAAGGTAAAAATATTATCAGAAACAGAGTTTCCAAAGGGTTTTATGCCAAGCAGAAGTTTAAAGATGCCCTATCTTGCATGTGGGGAGACATGAAATTGTGTCTTTGTTTCCCATCTACAGTGAGAAATCTTTCTCTTTCTCTCTTGCACTTTTGGCAGAAGATGGCTTTCTTTCCTTTAGAAAAATGTGTCCTCCTACAAACCACTGTTACTTTCTCTTCCTCTTCCTTAATCTGAACTAGATTTTATAGGCACCTAGTTTATATTTTGCTTCTTGTGGTTGTCCTGCTCCTTTCGTCTTTAAAAAAAACATCTCTTTGGAAAAGGCATTGAACTTCATCTTGGTGTTGTGGAGAACACAAAGCCTTGGCCCTGCACCTGGTTGACTCTTTGGTATTTTATGCCGGAGAAGTCTAACAAAACAGGATCTGCTCTTCAGGAGTCTCTAGAAAGCTTTGATATTCTGGTTTCCCTTCTGAATGGATGCTGGAAACAACCAGGTTACTGTCCCAGTGCTTCCCCGCTCTCATGGCTGGATGAGCCCCTTGGAGAGTGAGGAAAGATCTCGGGTTGCTCCTTTGCTTTCTCTCACTTGATGGCAACAGTGTGAAGGGTCTTGATGCATCTGGACACTCTCCAAGCTCTGGTTCCTCACTGGCTGGCTTGATGTCTCCTCTGTTTCAAACAGCGTTTAGTAGGTGAGAGGAAGAGGAAAGAGGCGCTAGTGCAGGATAATAGCGCCCTAGGTCCCAGCAGACTAGGGCACAGCCACTTTGTTGAGAATTTGCCGCTCTTGCTGCCTCTTGTTCTAGCTTTGACATGAGTAGGGTTGCCCATCTCTTAGGGGGGAATGGTGCAGAGCTCACGACAGCACCGCTCACTGTGGCAGGGAGCCGCGCTTGAGGCCC